TTTTTGGCTTTTAGTTTTTTTTTGATTAGCAGAAACTTAAAAAGTGAAAGAAAATACCATAAAAAACCAATAACACAACAACAACAACAAAAAAGTAGCCCTAACAAGGAGCGTTTGGTCTGTTCACCATAAATACAGTGGGTGGCACACCACAATGCAATTCACAGTAATGGTGCACAGCCTAGCAGTGAATACAAGGGGGGTTCACTTTACTCTCTCTATCCCACCACACTGCCAATCACTGCAATCTAGCAGTGGCATTATACAGCACTTTATATAGCACCATACAGCTCTGTAGTTAGCACTGTACAGCAGTCTGCATTATGGAGCTTTGCTTTTGGCGCTTTGGTGAGCAGCCAAATGCAGCCATAAGTTGCTGTTCAGGCAAGCTATGAGCAGCTAAAGTTCATGCTGAATCCTGCATCGCCACAAACTCAAACCTCATGCCTGGTGATGACAATGATTCCTATAGAACAAGTTTATATGTCAGTGTAATTGCAGGCAGGTTTCTTCCACCATACTTACAGTACATATTGTTCTAGCTTATTAAAAGACGTATAATTCCTGAAAGAATTATAGGTAGAACAGAATGCACACTTCCATTCCTATTTTAAGCTTTGATTTTAAAAGGTGAACAATATTCTTGATCATTCTTCTACATTATTTTTCAACATTTTATATCTCCTAGGCTGTATTTTGTGGAAAGATAAGCAACATTTGCCATACTGTTCTGAATCTTTGGTGTTGCTGTGAAGCCTCACAGCCATGTACATCAGTCTGTCCAGGCTGTATTAAACCTTTAAGCAGAGCTGCTTGTTGACAACATGAAAGTATAGTTATAGCGTATGCTGAGAATGAAAACAGCACAGAGTGGTGTGAATAAGATGATTTGGAGTGGACTATCTCTTCTTGTAAGCAAGGTCAATGTCAACTTTGTTCCTACTTGCGCAATGGTGGGACATTTTTTCACCAATGCAGGATGAGTAAGCATTTAAGCATAGAATAAGTCAGCATTACTCAGCATTGCATAGTGTTTGGAATGTTGACCTGATTATAAACCAACTTATTATATTCTCTCCCTAACTACATTGAACAGCTTTTTGTAGTCCCAATTAAAATGAGTGAATTGTTTAGTAAGTTAGTTGTACCAGATGATTGAAACACAGCCCAGTGGTTTGTGTCATACAAAAATACTGCATCAACACTAAAGGCTCTATTTGTAAAAAGTTCAACATAGATGGTATAATATGCTATACAAATTATCAAAATTTTCCAACAATACTTCACTGTTATATTGGAGAGAATGTAGAGATATAGGTTCTCTGGCCCATGCCCTCTGGCATTTTAGATCACTGGGGTACTACAAGCACCAAATCTTTAAAATAATTTCAGATTTTGAAGCCCAACCTCTAACTCCAGCGATTGAAATGCCCTTATTACATATACATTTGGCTGCTCTCCTGAGTCTAGAGCTATAGTCCTACATAACCTATATGGACGTTTCAGCTGCAAGTAAAATCTGGTAAACTCATGCACTGGTTTCTCATATCTCTTGGGGTTTCATCAGTTTTATATCTCTACTTGGCTCTATTTATACTCAACTAAAAAGAATAACTCTTGCAACAAAATGATTATTCACCCTTCTCTTGTTGTATTATATGTAATAATGAATTATAACAGGGGGAGTAGAAACATCCTCAATAATAGTTACTGCAGGTTTGCAAATCAGGAAACCGAAAGCAGAACTGTGGCCAGTTATTATTAATTATACTTATTATAAGCAGGACGTTAGATTTATAACTAGCCTTCATGGACATAAGTAGCTTACAGCACTATGGAGCAATTCTCCTTAAAAATTAAAGTAATGGCAGCAAAGTCATTCAAGTTGATCCTCAGCCCTCTTCTCTCGTCCTCTCCAAGTATATTTACATTAGAGCAGCAGTGGTCAATTTCATAAATATTGGCAGCTTTTAAGTGCAGCCCTTCACATGTCCAGAGGGCCAAGTAGCAGATACCCCCTTTCCCCAATTTTAGATGGGGAAGGGGGGTATTATGTTATAGAGGACCTTGCATTTTAATGCAAGGTCCTCTACAATGCATATTAAATGTTTTGTGAACACGTTCCACAAACATTTGGCTGAATCAAAGTGATAACCAGGCTTCTTCAGTCAGGCATACAGAGATGCGCTCACATTCAGATGTGTAGTTGCAACAAAGGAAGATGGTTCATGAAAGTGCCATTTTCTTTTTTAATCTCTTGTTGTTCATGTTCACTGGGTTGTATCTAATAGAAATGCCTAGCAAATCTTTGAAGATAATCCACATAATATTTCTATATAAACTTTGGATAGGAATCTGCATTTGTCTCCGCAAAGACTTTGCTTCAGCTGACGATATGTGCTCTCTATTAGTAGATATTTAAATTTGTTCTGCCTTTCAGCCCAAATATTCTGGATTGTAAGAGTAACGCCATGGCCTACCATACTATACAGACATAAATAATTGTCTGTCTGCTACTTTTAATTCCAATAACTTATACAGTAATGCAACCACACAAACTATGAACTTGTGCATTGTACTTAAGAAAGTAGAGAAATAGTTAAAAATCCCATAAACTGCTATTTTGGTTGACTGTTATCTGTCAACTTCTTTGTGTATGGAGTAGCTATTACCTTTTGTTTTCTATTTCTGTGCTTTAAACTGTAAACCTGCCACACTTGACACAATTTCCACCTACAATGAGTTATTCATATCTTTTAAAGTGATATTAAAGTCAAAAGATTTTTAAGCTTTTTCAAATGCTTATTAAATCACTTACAATGGATGCTGCTTCTTGATGTTTAACTCCTTAGTGACGGGGGCCTTTTTTTTTGTACCCATGATATAATCCACATTTTTGGCCTGCAAATTACTTCAACCCCCCCACACATTATATATTTTCTGAAAGCCAAGACCTTGTAGAATAACATGTTGGCAGTTTAGAATTTTTATGTTGCACGATATTAGCGCAATGCATAATCAAACCCCAAAATGTAGTGAAAAATGCCCTTAAATGCCACAAAACACAATAAAATACCCATTTTTTTATACAATATAAAAGATGATGTTACAACATGTAAATAGATACCCAACATGCCCAGCGTCCATGAAACGGTTACATAATTCAGTACCCCAAAAAGTCCATAAATTATGCTTTAAAAGCCCCCACAGGTCATCAATTTAGAGATATGCATAAATGTTAGCCTTAGAATTATTGCTCTCACATAACCCACATGTGTAGCACGGTCGTCGTTCTCATACGTAGGCGCACTTGACGCGTGTTTACGTGAAGACGCACGTGCTCGCGGGGGCGGGGGACTTTAAAAATGTTTTGATTATTTTTACATTTATTTCATTTATTATTAATTTAAAAACTTTAATTGCTATCACATAGGGGGGCTTACAATCCCCCCATGTGATGGCAGATTGGCAGTGACAGGTACTCTTTAAGGTGATGCTGGGGCTCCAAAAGATCCTTAGTATCACCTTTATACTTTAAATAAGCTATTGAAGTGCAGATCGCACTTCAAGAGCTTATTGCTGTGCCTCAGGAGCCCAGCACTGACAGCTATGGGAACGGAAGTGATGTAATCTGCATCGCTCTCGGTCCCATAGTACAGGGAGGGGGATCAACGAATGGAGGTTCCCCCCGTTTACCGGCCCGGGGAGGCGATTGGGCGACAGCTTCTATTGTAAAACCGACATTCGGCTTTATAATTGTAAACAGAGTCCCAGCGTCTTTAGCCACCGGGAGTCTGTTTAAACGGGCCCGGTGCCAGTGACATACTATGGACGTCACTGGTCACTAAGAGGTTAAATGTTTTAGTTTCCTGCAGAACCAGTTGGTCCCCTGAGCAGCTGGTCCTGATATTCTGTTTTAGGGTTGCTCTTTTCCCTTGCAGGGTCCTATGGAGCCACCGGTTTGTGTGCTAGTAAGCTGTGCGTGCCTTTACAATCACAGTCACAGGAACGCAAGCCTCACCCTTGCTCCCTGCTTGTCTCTCCTCCTTCCTCCCTTTTCGAAGCTAGTAGACAGACAACTGCTGAAGGCTGTCTGCCTACTGTGATCTTGCACTGGACAGGAGGTTCAGGGAAGTGGAGCTGAGACAGTTGGAGCTGCTGTTTGGAAACATGATGACTGTAAGTGATTGGACAAAAATTTCAAGAGATACTTTGCTGAGCAATGAATATTTGTTTGATCTGCATTCACTATTAAAAAAACGCTTGCGAGTGTATTATTACTTTAAATATATTTTTATTAATTTTTTTTACCACTCAACCAAAATATTCTAGATTGTAGAATCATTGTATAGCCAGCAACCCTGCTTTTAAACAAAATATATAATTGGCTATTATCATCTTCTTACTTATTTAACTTTTAGACTAGCCTTGAACAAATATATGTATCCAACCTGGCATAGCACAATGCAAGCAGTGCAGCAATCCAGAGCAAACAAACTGTTTAAGCACAAGGAGAAAAACAAAGTTACTGTAAATACCAGAACTGAAATAATGTACCATTTATGATGAGATATAAAGTACAGTAAACTATTTTTGTCAGCTGTTTCTGCCAACTTTTCTATGTATGGAATAGTCATTAGAGTTTTTTCCTTCTACGTCTGTGTGTTTGCACAGTCAGAGTGAACAAATATATTGTTAACGAAACAGATTGTAGGTAATAGGAAACACAAAGCATTTTTAATTTCCTATCTGACGCTTGGATGCATAATCTTTCTTTTCGTAACTTAGGACATTTCTGCAAGTCACAATGATCGGCTTAAACAAAAAGAGTTCCTGTCACTCCCCCAGATTTTGTGTAAGAAGATCAAGTGTTGCTTGTGCAACACCCTGCCTCATAGGAAGTATTGCTGAGTAATGCAAAGGGATTTCTGTGGCTGATGCAAACCTGGAGAATTTACATCATCATTCAGCACTAGCAACCTAGTGCTCTAGCAATCTAAATAGTGTATCAATCCCATGCGGAAGCTGACTTGGTCTCCAGCGATAGGACAGCTAAGGCAGACTAATCAGGTGTTCCAAAAAACAAAAGACCAGTGAAAGCTTCGAGCTTGAGTTGTGAAAAAGTTTGCCACTAGAAGCATCCAGCACTGGCTACTACCTGCACAGCACTTTTAATTTTTACATTGAGATTCCATTGTTCTTTTTCTTCATCATGTATAAGAAATCTGCTTCTGCCGATGTGCCTATGATGACTTCCAAAGGCAGCTATCCTTCAAAGGAATCACAAGGCATGTTACCCTCAATTAACAACAAACAGACTGAGAAGAGGGAGAAAATGGTGCTGAAAAAAAAAATAACTTTGTTAAGAGGGATCTCAATAATAATTGGAACTATAATTGGAGCAGGGATTTTTATATCTCCCAAAGGAATACTGCAGAATACCGGCAGCATAGGAATGTCTTTAATTGTATGGACAGCGTGTGGCATCCTGTCACTTTTTGGTGAGTATCAGCCAGGAATATTTATACTGCACACGTGCAGCTTCCCAGATGGCATTTAAACACTGATCTTATCCGGTTTTCTGCCTGTAGGACGCTAAGGTTTTCGACATGTAAAACCTCTAAGATGTGCAACGTCAGCTTCTTTATTACTTTAAACTGTTCTTTGAATTTATTTGCTTTTTAGTCTTTTTTATATTATTAGTTTACTTGAAAACTATTATTGTTACTCTGTGTATTTAATTCATAAGCAATTGCTCCTTGATTATAATACTACGGGTGAATCGATACAGCAAACTATACGTTTTATATTTGTTTGTCTTTCCCTTATAGACATATTTTCCTTATAGATTCAGCTGCTCCTGGCATGACGTATAGAGGGTGTGTCTATCAGTATTGAGTTTTACTTTTACTGCCTTAACTTGTTCCTTGCCAAATTCCCATAGCTTGAGATAGGGTGTTGAGAATATATATTAAAAGATACATTAAAAAGAAAACAAAAACAGTTATATAAAAACTGGAACAGACAAAATCTGGAGCAACCAATCAGCTTCTCTCTTTCATTTTTAAAGAGTAACTGAAAAAACACAAGACAGGAGCTAATTGGTTGCCACATGCAACTGCTTCAGATTCTGTCTGCTGCAGTTTTGATAAATTCCCCCATTGTTCACATTGCAAAGTGAATGTCCACTTAGTATATAAAATGAGGCTGTGTTCACTTCAATCAACTAATCTTGTGTTGGCAACTGATCAGTTTGTTGTTTTCTCTTTTCCTTGCATATGATTAGGTATTCAAAGTGAAAACTGTCATTAACTGTCATTCACTTTGAAAAAAGAACAACCTTTATCCTTTTAGTAAATCAGCCCCTATAATAACCTAAACATTGTTTGTTAATGGTTTAAAATCATTTTGTTCATTTTGCGTTGTAATTATAGAACACTATTCACACTTTTGCATTGTGTGAGGGGCTCTACTATACAATGCACTGAGGTGTCATTCGCAATCATGGGCAAATTAAGAGTCATGGAGGAGGTGCATTGCCATGTGTTGTGGTAACACATGTTAACATGTATATTTTAACATGCTCTACCACAACACACACTAAAATGAATGTGTTAATGTGTGTTATCACAACGCATGGCAATACACCTGCTCTCTGATTGGTCTGTTTCAGTGCCATTCATTGCAAATGACACCTTAGCACACACTGCACTGTAAGAGCCCATTGCACAACACATTGCAACACATATACTGGGCGTTATGCTGCACTGCATTATTTAAAGACATAATGCACTTTTTTACCCATGGCGGTGTTCTGGAAACCCATTCATAACAAATGAATGCACCACAAATGAATGCAGGCCATAACGCACATTAATGCATACGCACCACAATTGAACGCTTAAATGTGAACGGGCTCTACAGGTGCACTGGGTCAGGTCTGACTGACTGAAATGCTGAGATTTTATTTCAGCAGTTGCTGAGCAGAGAGCCTGGATTATTGTAATAAAATAGCTAAATCCACTACAGGTAAAAATCTACAAATATGTATATGGAATGCAATTATATAAATGTAAAAGCTACATACAAATCACATCACTGCAAAAATATAGTACAATATATGTTGTAGTTATCATTTGAAGAGATTCTGACATGTTCACAAGAATGCTGCAATTTGCTGATTAGACATATAATATACAACACGATGGGGTCTATTCACGAAGCTGCCGAAGGATCTGGCCGTAGCTTCGGCCCCAGGACCCCTTCGGTTCAGTAGAATCGAAGGGGTGCTGTACGGGCTATTCACAGATGTTGGATCGGCTGAGTCGAACTCCTTCTGCACTTTGGGTCGGCCGAACTTCTGGAAATGCAGGTATGTGTGTTTTTGAAGTGTGTCGGTGTGGTCTTTTCTTTGGCGGTCATAGAGGGACGTTGATGTCATCATATACTATGCAGGGTCTGTAGCCTAGTATCAGGGCCATTCCTTTAATGAGACAGCCTGAGGGCATTGCCTCAGGTGGCATCTCTTTGGGTCACATGGGGATGGATCAGTGTGCCTGCTGCCCACATACTGGCCAGAGTGTTTCAGGTTGCTAATGATATCACTGATTTCCGGGAGCTGAGCGGGAGCTGAGCGGGACACCAGTGACGTCAGTGAGCTGGACGGGATGCCGGCCGGAACCAGAGGTAGCGTGCATCAGCACCCTCCTCCCCTTGGTAATGTGCACCACCAGTACCCCCCCACCCCTGGTAATGTGCCCTGCCAGCATTTACCCACCTCCCCTATCCCTGGTAATGTGCACCACCAGCACTGAACCCCCCTGGCCACAGGCAGTGAAAAGTCTAGGGACACCTCTACCCAGCATAATATGTGAGGATGCCAGTGACAGTTTATAGCCAGAGCCTGCACATGTCTAAATATAAGAAGCAATATTTTCCTATCTTCATGTTCAGGTTTAAGCTATGTTGACTTTAAACACCAATCACTTTGCTAGATGGACAGCCTCTAAATTGGTGCCTTCTTTATGCCTCATGTGAAAAGGTCAGGGCAATACCTGTTTTCAATACATTTTGTATAAATATTTCAATAGAAAAGGCACTTTGATAAGATAATCCTTTCAGCATCTTTTGCAACAAGCAATCAACCAACAAGCTGACATGCACATCTGTCAGTATTATAGATGATCCAATGTGTTAACACAAAATACGCTCTTAAAAATACAGTATGCACAATTATCACATTAAAATAAAAGTACTATAAATGTCAAACTTTCCCATGATGGTCCATACATGCACCAATTTTTATTAGATCAATCTTAGATACAATTGCCATCCGATTTGAACAGATTTAGTTCCATTATTTCATATACACGGATGACAGATTTTCAGCAGATATTTCTTTCAGATATATCCCAAAATTGTTTTGTTTCATTAATAGTCTATTTTAGTCATTACAATTTATTGATCTTTGTTTGAAATTAACATTTCTATATACTCAGGGGTATCCCTAGGCTTATAGCTGCCTGATGGTGATGAACTTTACCCGGGGGGGGGGGTGATGGATTATTATTATACAGGTTTTTTATAGGGCCAACAGTTTGTGCAGTGCTTTACAATATAAGGAAGACATTACAATCACAATACAATGCAAGACAAGATGGTAAGGAGGACCCTGCCCCTGAGGACTTGCTTACAATCTGAAAGGGGGGGGGGATGATACATGAGGAGGTAGCTGTGCGGGGATGAATTGTATGAGAACGTGATGGTTGAATGGTTAGGTTGAGGCGGGATAGGCTTCCCTAAAGAGATGAGTCTTAAGGGATCAACTAAAGGCAGTCAGAGTGAGAGACAGACGATGAGGATTGGTACCTCTGGCCACAGCCCTGTCCAGCATCTTGCACAGCTCACTGATGTTACTATGTCACTGGTTGCCAGAAGCTGGGTGGGACACCAGCCAGAGAGTCCCGCTAAGCCCCTGGCAACCAGTGATGACAGTGAGCTGGGTGGGATGCCAGACAGAGTGTCAGATTGCTAAGAGCTCTTAGCAGCCTGAGACGCTCTGTCCCGAAAGGGGCCCATGTGACCCAATAAGGTGCCATCTGAGACAGTCGCCTCATGCTGCCTCATTATAGGGGTAGCCTTGTATATACATTAGCATTAACGTTAGCATTAACAATTTTTCACCACTTTGATAAAGTTGTCAAAACTAGCAATCTACTGGCTGATTTGATCGTATGGGCACAGTTTAAAGTGTATCTAAAGGCCATATTTTTAATTTTAGAGATAAAGCATTGCAGTTCTTTAACAGAAGGTATTTACAGGTCCTCACATTTAACACAAAACCCCAAAACATTGAGCTCAGTCTCTGCTTATGGGTAAGCAGGCAAAGTCATGAAAATCATTCCTTTTGCCCCCTTTTAGCCATCTTTGCATCATGAACTGCTGGTGTATAGCACAGATATAGCCATGGTTTTATGCAGCCAACTTGCATACAGTTGTTTCAGGCTTATTAATCTTATCAATGCAAGATATGAATTTACTGGCTCTATGGTGTAGGATTGGTGAGGCCAGGGGAACAGGACAACCACTTAGGTCACAGGGAGAAATGGAAAAGTCAACCTCTAAAGGACTGTGAGATTCAGCATTGCCGAAATAGCTGTACCTCTCTTTTTGTCCTGCTGTACATTGTTCGTTGAACTGAAAGTGAGCAAATGTCCAATATTTTGAATTGTCTCTGAAACAATAGTAGAGGGGAAATCTTCCTGTGAGGAAACGTATTCTAATGAAAACTGTCTAGGAGGGCATTTCCCTCATTGGGGTGATTTTCTCTCACTTTCTGTTGTGTCTAATTGTGTCCAGTTGAGGGGGTAAAACGAACCACCTCCTTAATTGGACACAGACGGTAAAATAGAAACTTGACAGGTGCTATAACCATTGCGTCTTGGTTCTAATATAATGCATGTAGGAGTGAAGTTAGGGGAATGAGAACTTGTGTAAGTACTTGAGAGTTGTGGAATGTAACCCTGGGTAAGCTGGGTGATGTGTATGCACAGAAGGTAGCATTTATACAGTATGTTTATAAATGATAAGGGGGTAGGGGGCTGTAGCTGTGTATAGAAAGGTTATTTTTAAAAGTTAACTAATCAGTATGTTGTAAAGTGAACATATATATTGATCATTGTACAACCAGCAATTTACAAGTACATTAATATTTACTAGCCAAAAGTGTTAGATTATTTCTCAAGTATTTATTGCTGTCTGTGCTTTGTAGGAAAATTTCCTCTTACTCCTTGACTGGTTACCAGAAGAGGAAGTTTAAGGTTTTCTCCACAATGGGTACACAGAAAGGCTTCAGACTTTAGACATGAAAACTACAGACTTGTTAAAAATACCAAATTGTACAGTATATGTGTTTTCCCATGTAATGAATACCTGTTTTTCAGCTTTTTTTTTTTTAATTACTGCACTGTACTAGTAAAAGTAATTATTACTATTATACAGG